TTTGGTTTTTTTTTTAATTCCCTAGTTAAAAATGCTAAGGATTTGAACTAAAATTTTACCTATTTGATAGGTAAAAATCTCTTCATAGTATTTTCAATATTTAATGCCATTTTTTGTTTGGGATTGGGATGTACCACTTCTTAGTAAAAACTTAATGTGAAGTTGGCCATAAATGTGAGGTAGAATTTTTTTGGGTCCTATTGTCTTGACCCTATTGTATATATTCCATTGACTTTTTTCTAATATGTACATCCTTGTGGAAATTTGTGTCAAATAATACAGCAAGAGCTGGACGCTAACTCTGTGAATATGTTTTAAATGTTTTGGGGTTTTTTTCCAGAGAAACTGGCATAACAAATGTTGGTGTCTGTCAGATACTAGAAAGCATCAGCATTTCTGAATGAAATTATCTTTTTCTGTAGTCATGTCAAAACAATGCAAATATCAAATCAGTTCAGTAAGCTTGTCTTAATCAGTAAGCTGACTAAAAAATACTACATTGATAAACATATTTACCATGTTTCCTTTTCCAGCAAGTCCTTTTTAAGTGAGGTTTCACTCACTTGCATTTGAATCCACATATTCAATCCCTTTGTGGGGTTCAGTGCTTCTGGGTGGTAGTCTCTATGTGCAGATGTAGATCTAGACTTGACTGAGTATACAGTCTTAAAATACCGGGGAACAAGCACCCCCTTCCTTTTTATTTCAGAAAACGCTATATCATAGCGTCACGTCTTTCTTTCAGTTGAGAGAGAGGGGAAAGGGCACCTAAATTTAAAATTCCCGCTGTCTTTGTTTTTCCTTAGAACCAAGTTAATTGCCAAGTACAACTCATCTGTTGGTAAATATAAGAAGATTATCTAGTGAGAATAAACTTCGCTCTTTGGAGTGAGGTGTATCCTTGTTCTCTGGTATTTACTAACATATCACTGTATTGTAATTATAATAATGGTTTTATTTTCCATTCACTGGCAACAGCTGGAAAAGTATCTGGAGAGTTGCAAAATAAAATGGGAAATCCTCCCTTTGAACAGTGACCCCATTTGGATATAAATTTCCACTTCCTCCTTCCTAAAAGTCAAGGCAAATAAGTGTTGGATAACTGTGGACCGTCCTTATGGTTGTGTATGTCAGGAATGAAAACTGGTTATGTATTAAAGGTTTTCTTGAGTTTTCTTACAGACATTATTACAAACAAGTAAGTTTGTAATACGTAAGTTTGTTTACATTATTACAAACAAGGAATTTTCAAGGAATCCTCACTTCCCATCTTTTACATAAAACTTAAACTGCAGTGGCAACTTTACAATACAGATACAGACTCTGGACTTTACATATACTTACTGCAAAGGTTAATGTGCCCTTCAGTCCTGATGCTGCAGCACAAATCTGCTTGTATGAGCTTAATCAGCTGTTATCCTTACCTCCAAGCATGTTATTTTTTGTGCTTTTTCTTGACAAGTTACAGTGAAAATCTTCACGTACCAAACCAGTCTCTCTTGTCAATTTAGCTTACTGGTACCAGTATTAAAGGTGTTAACTTAAACCCATAAGAAAATGTAGATCACTTTCTAAATGTTAAATTGACCACTGAAACGGAATAGTTGTGTAAAAAGAATAACGGGCTGTTGCTACAGATTTTTCAATTCAAAGATTTGGTGTTAGCAGACTTCTAGCAGTTCTTGTTAATGAAGAAATTTCCTGGTTAAAGTTATAATTAATTTTAGAAGAGCTTAATCTCACACAATTAGTGCATTTTTTTAACTGCCCTGAAATAACAGAACTGACTCTCTTCATCAGCTATACACTATGTGCATCTACAGAAGTAACTAGCTGAAATCATAAAAGCAGTGGAGCTTTCCGAGCCCTTTTAGTATCACGTGTTCCTTCATTAGAGCGCATACATCAGAGCAACCTCAGTTGTTCAAGAAGCCTTTTGGTTGTCGGATGGGATTCAGGCTGAGAGAAGAGGAGAATCCCTGGCCCTTCTTGGGAAGGTGAGGAGAGAGGAGATGTAATACTAACTTTATAGTGCATTAATTGGAGCTGATAGTTTCGGATGACCGGTTTCTTTCTTTGGTACAGGCTGTTATCCCTGTGTTGACTGATATTAACAGTACAATTCAGTTGTCCAACTGCAAGTTGCTAGTAGCATTTTAGAAGCATTAATGTGCTCAGAACATCAGTGTGGCAGATGCAGAGTGAGAGCTGTGCTCTGAGCTGGCTGCTGGATACCACGTGGAATATTCAAGGGCATTTTGGGTTGTGCCCTAGATGGTATTCTCACTAGATGCCTATATGTAGGCACCAAATAAAGCTATCAGAAATTATTGTGAAGTGATCATACACTTTCTAATGTAAATGAAACATTTTTATAGTTTCTTCTTTCATGGACTTTGAGAAACAAGCATGTAGAAATAGGCAACATCTTTCAATATAGGGAGAGCTGTTTTGTCTTGCAGCGTGAGGTTTGTATTCTATACTTGGTTTTAGAGTTGAATAAATATACTGTCTTACAGATTAAATATTATCTATTTTTACACGAAGCACGCTGAATTCAAAGCCATGTTTAACATTCAACATTTTTATCTTAGAAAAATCAATGGTTTTTTACCTATATGTCTATCTTCAGTTCTGAATCTGTTGCTTAACTTCTTCCTCATAATCATGGTCTGAAATATGTTTACAACAGATAAGAAGATAATAAATAAATAAATAAAAACCCTTTATTGTATAACTCTTAAGTAACACCCAAGGAAGTTACACGTACTAGGATAGGTCTTACTACAAATCCTGAACTGAGATCTTCACATGCATTTAAGAACAGCTTTTAACCTCGGCTAATGGAAATCATTTATTGTGTACTCTGAGGTATCTGAAGTAAATTAGTAGTTTCTGAGAAAATATAAAGTTTCTGATGAACAAATAGTTCTACTGACAGCCTTTCTTCTTCTCCTGGGGCCTTTTCCAACGTAGTTTTCCCTCTGCCCCTACCTTTCCTTTTAAAAGAAACTTTTTTTTTAATCTGAGGCTCTAAATTTTCCTAGCTGTGGATTTTAAAAATGCCTTGTCTGTCTGTACTAGGTTTTCTTGAAATACTGATTTACCTCACGTTACCTGAAACGTTCAGGGGACGTTAGTGGTCCATAATTGACACTTACCCTTTGCTCAGATGAGGCACAGCTCATTGGGCATCTCTGAAGAACTGCAACACCTGCCGCTTCCATGGCAATTTGAGCAGCTCATGTGGGAGTGGCTATCCTGGCATATCTTGTAAATGGGGAAAAGGGGAAATAAAATAAAATAACCTTACTGTTTGGAACGAATATAAGAGTTTGCTTCTGTTAAGTAAAAGATGGTTTGATTGCCAGTGCTCAAAAACATGCTAGCTATCAGACTGTGTGGTACCAGTCCAAGGAACAGGTCTTTGGTCTGGTTTTGCACAGGGTGATTGCTAGGGCTCTACTAAAGTGCTGATGCTGCGTTTCTAAAATGAAACAGGGTGGTAATCCAATTATATATATTATTTGTAGTGCTAGTGGTAATATTACTTAGCGAATAAAATGTTGCTATCTTTATTCTTCCCAAAAGTTTGGAAGTCTACGGTTGGAAGGGATTTTTGATGCGTGGTGGCACTCTTGTTGTTCTAAGCTCATGTCTCATTAGCTGGACCACTAAACTAATGACAAGGTATCAAAAGTTGAAATTTACAGGATTCTTAGAAAATTACAGACATTGACTTTAGGTGTCACAGTTTCAAGGTAACTTTTTCCTCTACGAAATAAAACTTGTAACTTAGTTGAGGTAATTCTGCAGCTGTGAACAGGAATGCTGGCTCAAATGCAGAGGAGGGGAAAGAAAGGTTAATTCAGGCATTTTTTAGCATGTGTAGCATTCTAGTAAAGGCTCCTGGGTTGGGACCCTGCAAATTAAAATCTGTTGTCCGTAAGCACCTAGTTCTTTCACTGACTTAAGGAAGAATTTCAATTGTGGTAGGAAAGCTGGGTATCTTTACAGGCACTTTGACAAAGATTATAAGGAATAAAATGAGGGTTGGGGTTTTTTGAGTTTTTGGTTTTTTCCCCAGTTCTGGTTGGAAATGAGAGATGGAATTCAGGATCTTGAACATATTTAACAGTAGGATAAGCCACCTTATAGCTTAACCATTGTTTTTACATTTGAACAGTGGCCTTGGGATGAAAGACTTCATGCTAATTTTAAGTTGCCACATAACTCTATTGTTACTTTGCTTGTTATCTTTCTCTGTGTTATTGGACTTTCTTCTGGAAACTAAGTACAAGGTAAATTCTTTACTGAAGCTAAATGCATTTAAATAAATAATTTGTCTTGTTACTGTTATCTATTTTTTTTTTTTTAGTAGTACGGTATATCACAAATTCTTGAGAAACAGAGTTCTAAGCTCTCATGCCGTAGTTGTGTATAGTTTACCAAAAAACCCCTCTGCAGGAATCATTTACTACCTTTATAAAATCAACCATTTTTTAGGATCAAAAAAACGCCAAACCATCTTCACTGTAACTAAATTAAACAGTTTGGTGGTTTGTAACAAAGTTGTCACACTTATTTCAAAAGTTTGAAGCTGTAAAACTAGAAATATTTCAAAAGCAAATTCTTTCATGACCTGTTAAGCTAGAAGTTGAAGTTTTTTCTTCTGAAACTGGTAATATAACCTGAGTTATTTCAGATGTCTCCAAGAAGCTGTCTAGTGTATTAATCTTGAAACTTGGTATGTTGAAGACTAAAGCTGTTTTTATTAAATTTTTAACATCCTAGAAATCTTTCTAAATGACAGTTTTTGGAAATACTCGTGAATTTTTCCAACGTGCTCTCATTATTAAATAGCTTATTCAGCCTATCATCAGAAATCTTTTTGAAGGTGTGTTGTAACATATAGTACCAAGAGATTCAAGTCATCTGAGGATGACTATTAAATGTGATTTCATTGTACCTGACTGTCAAATGTATATTTATCTATTTAGGTTCAGACAAAGAAGGAAGAAACTTTGCCACCATCACTTAGTCAAAACATTCCAACTTTCTATTTTCCTCGAGGATGTCCTAAGGAAAAAGTGAATATAGATGCTGTGATTGCCAAAATTGAGAGAACTTTCTCTGAGTTTCCAAATGAGAGGGCAACGTTAGAAGACATGGGGAAGGTTGCAAAGGTGAGAACTTGCTGGCTGTCTGCTTTTAATACTGTAAACCTATGGAAAGGAAACATGAGTTCTGTGTGCTTTGTCTTCTTGCATTATGTGTTTTTATCTCCTACAAGATAGTACCAGTAAGACATCATATTCAACACTGTTGATAGCACAGCTGTGTGTGGAAATCTTTGTGTTACTATGTCTTAAATGGCCCTGCGTTTTGCCTACAACAAGAAACAAACATTAAAACAAAACTTGAACTATTTTTTTTTAGTTGCATAAACAACCAAATACTGAAGGGCACATTGTATGTTGTTCTGTGTTCTGTATTGACCAACAGACTTAAGGCAAAAGCACTGTTAATATGCATTTTGTTTTCAGGCATCCACACTGTTTTTTTTCATTTGGCAGTGTCATGAACCTCCATTGTAAAGACATTGAAAGAGAGAATGGTTTGGTAACTTGAGATGATAGCCCTCTAGTTATTATTGAAAAGCTAATTTAGGGGTTTGGTAGAGTGACAAAAAACTGAGCTTAGAAAACAGCAAATATTTTTTAACTTCTGTGTAATGGACAATAAGCTAGTTAATTTAAACTTAAATTTCCATTTTGTTATATTGAATCAACTCTTGAAATATCACTGCAAATCATGGTCTTGGTAATGAGTCTCAGGTTTCTCATCCCTGTTCCTGTCACTTTGCATTTAAAGTCCGGGGTCTAGAAAATAGAAACAAAGACTTTTCACAAGAGCAGGACTGGGGGTTCAGAAACTCCATGTTTGCCTCACCAGAAGTGTTTAACTGCTAAGGTGAATGATAGGATTCCCACCTTTCATAGCTCCTTTCCACGTAGAAGTGGGGAGAGGCAGAAGAGACCCTTCCCTCTCAGCCAGAAAGGTGGAAGGGTCTAGTCACCTACAATTCAGTGATGAAAGGCACCTTTCTGAAGCATAGGGAAAAGCCTCTCAGTCTGAGGACAGTATTCATCAAAGTCGCTTTTTCTTATTTCTTAAAGTACTGGTTAAACTATTCTATGAGAAGTAAATGTCCTTTTACTCCAGTGACCTTATACATCTTGCAGTATGCACAATCTTATTTGAGCTCCACATGAGATTCTCAGAGGTGCCGGCATGTCTGACTACTCCAAGCTGTAGTCAGTTTTAGGCAAGAGATAGGTACTTAGCTGTTACGACTGATGAAGCTTGGAGCAGACACAGAAGCAATACTGTAGGTACATGTAAGAGCACTGAAGTTGTGAAGGTATAACTTGGCTATTCTGAAACAAGATACTGCTGCTTGGTGCAGGCTAGCCTATTACTTAAAACTGGATAGGAGACGTGCATGCATATGCAAGGATGCAGATGAGCTGAGCCGAGCCATCCTCTGAGCCAGACAAATGTAAACTTCTCCAGTTTGGAAGTTGTGGAACTGTTTGTGCTGTCTTGAGCTGAGCTTAAAGATATCCAGCCCTTTAGCGGAGCTTATTAGCATGGTCTCTGTTCAGCTGCTTGGAGCGAAGACAGGGCAGGCATGTGACTGCATTCATCTGTAAGGAATGCTGCAAGTTGCCCTATGTTTTGCTTTCCACTTTTGGATTTCAGCCTAAAGCAGTTGCTTAAAACTAATTATTTTGGAAGGTGCGGTTGGTTTCAGAAACAGTTTAAAAAATTCTTAATGTGCCTTAATGTTTTCTTCTTAACACTTGTAAAATTTAATTTTTGAAAGATTTATAAGTGAGGGGGAGTAACCCTCAGATAAGCAGTCAATGAACTGACTTGATGTATACTTTAATTCTAGGCTTGTGAATGCCCACTTTATTGGAAAGGTCCTTTGTTTTATTGTGCTGGAGGTGAACGAACAGGATACGTGTCAGTTCATAAATTTGTTGCAATGTGGCGGAAGTAAGTAGATTACTTTTTTTAGAAGTACTGCAGTTTTTAATTGAAATGTGATATTTTAAGCTCTGAATGAGATCCAATCTGTAAAGGGGAATAAAACACTTTCCCATAATCAACCATTGACAGCAAACTTGTACCTGGGAAAATGTAAGTAAATCATCACTTTAACATAAACAAACAAACAAATCTTTGTTTACAGTGTTTATAGATTTTTAAAGTGTTTGGTAAATGACCGGCTGTTTATGGGAAAAGTGAAAACCATGGCCCTGACTTGTAGATGCTAGTTCTGGACAAAATGCTTTTTCTTCTTTCTAGTTCTCCTTCCAGTTCTAACTGAAAAATGTCCTTTCATGTAATCGATAACACGGTGTACCCACCTCCTTCAACGTAAATGTATGAGACAGTACTGCTTTGATAAGTTCACTTGGAGTGTACTTTGACATTTGTATTTAGCTTTTGAATTAAATGTCGTGGTTGCAGTTTCATAGGCCTTGCTCTAGGATGCCTGTACAAGGTAGCATGAGCAATATTTCCTGTAGAGTATTAAATGGAAATATTTACATTTCAGAATACTTCAGACTTGCTATGATGATGCTGCAAAGTTTGTTCATCTTCTAATGAACCCTGGATGCAACTACTTGGTGCAAGAAGACTTCATTCCTTTTTTACAAGTAAACTGCAACTGAAACTAGTTCTGGAAACAAAATGATGAGCTGGCAAAGCGCTGATTTTTTTTTTGTTTTGCGTTTTTTTGGGGTTTTTTTTGAGCAAAACATACTTTTTCATGGTCTTCATTAAAGTTTATTGATAACATTTAGTGTAACTCACTTTGTATGGTCCACTGAGATGCTAGTGAGGGACTTACTTTACAGTTAATCATTTTATATAAGGTGAGGTCTTTTTTAAGAGCTACAGTAAGATGCATGGATTTAAAATTGCTTGCAGGAGTAGCACATGTATGGGAGAATCCTTACAGTTTAGAAAAGCAGTTGAAGTTATTTAAGTCAAGGACGCCCTTTGGCGGGCAAAGGAAAAGCAGCGTATGAATTCAAGACCTAATACAGTTTCTGTCAAAGAGCGGCAAACACCACCTTTACTAATGAATGAATAAAACCTAAATTGGCTTTTCCTGAATCATAGTCAGCCACAGAATTACAAGCTACAATGGTCAGCAGTGTTCAGAATCTTCATCTCATCTAAAATACAGGAAAGCTTTTGTTTATCTCGCTTCTTTAAAAGATAATTTTCTTTTAAAAAGTCAGCAGTGTTATTTACATGAGGCATGTTCTAAATGAAGTTAATTTGACTGTTTTGGTTAAGGAAGCAGATGTGCTATTCTGTGCTAATTGTTTTATATGTATTTATATATTTATATAT